TATATATATATATATATATATATATATATATATATATATATATATATTTATTTTTATTTTTATTGAAGGCCACATGGATGTTACTTCTGTGCTGGTTAGGAAAGCAATCCTCAATTCATCCATCAAAACAAGCCTTAAGACTACTCTTAGTCAAACTGTGATGTATACTTAGATTTTCTACAAGAAAAATATTAATAAATCAAAAGATTGTAAAGTAACTGGATTCTTTTCAACTTAGGGCCAATTGAAAAATGGTCAGCCAGTCTTATAGATAATGCAATATTGTAACATTTCCTGCATTTTTCAAATCAGTATTCAGTTTTTTTTTTTTTATTATTATATTTGTTAGTGGTGTTCATAGCATTTTGAACAGTATATGAAAAATATATAAACTATGTCTTCAGGTAGCAAATGTGTTAAGGGGTCCCTGTTGGGTTAGTGGCCAACATGCCAACCAAGATCTGCTCAATACTGAACATGGATCTTTTCTGCATCTCCTCATCCTGCTCTTAATTCATGAAATGTCCTAAAAAAACTAGGTTTTCATTCTCTGGATAACCTGCAGCGTAATATTCCTGAATGCACAGGTGTGTCATCAAACACACAATGTGCTGTTCAACTTTTAAACAGCTCACTAACGCCCAAATCATCTGCATGGTTACAGATTAAAGGGTGACGTGAGCCTGATGCTGCTGTACTGTCAATTTAGATTATATCCATCCATCCATTTTGTTTTTTAGCTGCGTTTATGTCATGGATCAATAGGTCCAGAGGAGATATCCCTCTTCCCCTGACACTCTCTGGCTCTTTCTGGGGGGGAGGGGACTTCCCAGGCCAGAAAGGATCCATAATCCTTCAGCAAATTCTGGGTCTGCCCTGGGGTTTCCTCCCAATGGGACACACCTGGAACACCTCCTGGAGGATTCTAAATCAGATCCTTGAATCACTTCAGCTGACTTCTTTCAATATGCAGGATGCTCTAATCCAAGCTGCTCCCTGATGGTGGATCTCCTCACTTTATCTCCGAGGCTGAGCCTGGTCATTCTATGAAAAATATCCATTTCAGCCACTTGTATCTGGGATCTTGTGTTTTCAGTCATGATCTATACCTCATGACAACAGCTTCATGTTCACCATGACAAACCAAAGCAACACCCTCTTTACTGAGGACAAGGCCCTGATGCATAGATTGATCTCCCAACCCATTCTGCCATCATTCAAGAACAAGACTTCTCCACTTGAGGCAAAGACTCATTCTGACTTAGAGGGAGCATTTCACTTTTTCCCAGTTAAAATTCATGGCCTCAGTGTAGAGAGGCTGACACTCATCCCACACTTGGCTGTGAACGACCACAGTGTATGTCCTGAAGATGCTAAGTTATACAATACCCATAACATTTGAATAATAAATATGCAGAAAAAAAAAGAAAAATATATATACTGTGTGTGTGTATATCTATCTATCTATATCTATAGATATAGATATACACACACACACACACACACAACAGACTTTTAAATAACTCAAAACTTTTCAAACTGAACAGTGCAATCAAAATGACAATGTTCAAACAGTGAGTGCCTCAAGTGTAATGCAGAAATCGCCACAACAGTGAAAACTGAAACCAGTCCTGAAAAACATAAAAGATACTCTCTATCCCCGTCCAGCTGATTGTTAGGACTGAGTGAGTGTGAGGAGTTACAGTAAAAGGTTTTATTTCCATTCAGTGGCTAGACTGTTTTAGTGGGGGCTTGGAGCAGGAGAGTCCAAATCCCGGTCGACCTCCACCTCTTCTTGGCTGGAGTAAGAACTCAGAGCGTCCCACAGTAGACTGGGCTGCTCGCAGTGATGGTGACTTTTCCAGTGCTCCATAATTAACTCCTTGGTGTTCAACATCTTGCTGCAAAGAACACAGTTAAAAGCTACACCTGCTGCTAGAATGCCAAGACCGTTGCAGACGTCTGGTGAGAAGGACCTGATTTCATCACTCTCCCCGTTCCTACAACAATGGTGGGACATGATGTGCTTCTTAAGCTTGGAAAAGGAAAAAAATTCTTCTTCACAGCTACCGCATTTGACCATGTTGCGTTTCTCGTTAAGCTGTCTCCAGTAGTGGGCAGCATGCTTTATTAGCTCATCCTCAACCTCACGTCCATCTTGTGGTGTCTGACCATCACGAGGGCGAATGTGAACCTTCTCTCCATGCAAATACAGCAAATGCATCTTCATGTCAGTAAAGGTGGGAGTGATGACCTGACAGCGGCTACATTTTATTTGCAACTCGACAGGATCTTCTCGATCCAGTTCATCTGACGGCTCTGGGGAAGTGGTTCTGTAGAGAAAATGAAGCAGAAAAAATGAAAGTGCTTACTTACAGCTGCTTAGTCATGCAATCAGTCAATACCTTCAGCCATTTAATTTTCAGTGCCTTGAGAAACTATTTACTGTTTACCACTTACATTTTTTCACATTTTGTCATATCATGTCCACAAACTTTAAAGTATGCTTTTAAGATTCTATGTAACAGTAAATGTACAAAGTAGTGAACAATTGTGAGTTGGAAGGAAAATTATACCGGTACATGGTTTTCATTAGGGATGGGGCCGATCCGATCCGGAATCGGGCTCCGATACCAGCGTAATTTACATATCAAAGACTTTTCCGATCCAACCTGCAGAAATTTCCGATCTATGATGCATGTCTGTGTCTGATGAAACTTCTCATGCGATTCCCTGCCTGCTGCTCTGCATGTTGGCTTCAAACTATGGAATGGATTTCCTGAACTGAGGCGTGTTTCATGAAGCCCAGAGTAATAAGACCTGCCTCAAATTCGGGAAATCCATTTCATAGTTTGCAGCCAGCTACAACGTGAGTAAATATATGACGACTGAGCAGCAGTACTGTGGCTAACGGCTAACCAACTTTTCATTGAAACATGTCTGCTGTGTGAAAATATTTTACACTAGAAACGCCACAAAGGTAGACGGCAACGTACAATGTTTGTAGAGCTGCTGTACCGAGAGGAGGAAGCTTCATCGTGACCGTCAATACAACAAACTTAATCAAACATAGCACCACATTAAACCGCGGTAAAGTTAATTTAACGTTGGACATTCCAAGCTCTGTGGCTTCAGCGGGGCACTCGTCTCGCTCAACCCGAAGCAGGCAGCTGACCCCAGCCAGCCGCGCCCAATCCACCCCGCTCAGTCTGCCTGTCTCGGAGGAGGGGCAGACTGAGCGCGGCTTACCAAAATCAGACCACCTGCCCCGAACCGAACGAGAAGAACACACCGCTGAAGCCACTAAGCTCGAATGTTTACCGAGAAGTTGCTAAATTTCATCGTAATTAATGACAAACCACTATCAGCTGCAGAAAACAAAGGATTTCGCAGCTTGATACTTGCAACCAAGATATAGTTTATCCTCCAAGAGATATTTATCAGTACAACAGTAGACAATCATAAAAAGCATATAATTGAAAAATACAAGAAAATTATATAAAAAAAAGGGAAAAAAGAGAAACAAAAACAGCTACATTATAAAGTGATGTAAAATACTAAAAACAGGAACATGTCTGTGTTGGTTTATGCCATGAGCTTAACAGATGTTTAAAGCCATTTATTTAATTTTTATTATTATTTAATTCATTTATTCATTCATTTAAAAGAAACAAAATAAACAAAACAAATTAATCAAAAAGAAAAAAAAACATTGAATGAAAGGTGCAGAAAGAAGAAAATTATTATATCTGTCCCTTATTTAAAAAAAATATAAAATAACTTTAAACAGACAATCACTTAAATTAATCACTTTAATATCCACTTTAAAGCTAGGAATAAAAAAACAACATGTTTTGTGTTAGCAGGATTTAATTCTAACTTTGAAACTTATCCAACATTAATAAAACTTACCTCAAGTTGCCTTTTTGGACATGCATGCATATATTTGTACCAATTGTACTTGAGAGGAGATTATTACAGCCTTGAATAAAATCAATAATGTCCAAAAAAGTTCAATCTGGTCCTCTGGACATTCAAAAAAAAAAGAAAAAAAAAAAAAAAAAAAAAAAAAAAAAAAAAAA